CCCCCCCCCCCCCCCCCCCCCCCCCCTGAAAAAAAAAACCCTACAAATATGCCCTTAGTAGGGTATAAGCGACATAGCCTGTGACCACGGGAATCGACTGCGACAAGAGTTAGTTTGATCAGCACGGACATATGGAGGTACCGGATGGAGAGACCGGAATGTTTTTTTTAATGGCAAGACAACAACAACATGCTCCCGAACAGCGTACCAAGAGCCTGTATGATGCCCTCCTGGGGGTCGTTCCACTCCCCCCCCACTTTGATGTGCACCGGTCCGTGGGTGCCCCCGTTCAGGCAGTTGTTCATGTCGGCGAGGTTATCCTTGTCGAAGCAGCTCTGGTAGTCGTCGCAGCTCACGACACCCTGTACGTCCTGTTTATTATTTTCACCGTTGTGTTGCGTGTTCCGTTTCTTACATCTTTTTTTTTTTGTCTTCCGACAGAAGCATCACAGAACGAATCAATCTCTATCCGCAGCTAAATAGCGGATTAATATTTCATGGTCGCGTACTACGAAGTACAGCAGTAGAGGTCCCTGTTTAGTGCCGGGGTGTGCGCCGAAATTTCCCCGGCACTAATCCGGGCACCGACCACCGGCACTATTCAAAGCACATAACAACGACTTGGTATTCCAGTGTGTGCGAGCCGAAAACACCGTATGGCACTATACCGGGCACCGGCACTATTCAACCGGCAATAAACAGGGACCTCTACCGTACTGTAGTTCCAAGTACAACACAACCAACCCATGTCAGTCAACAGATGGCGTAATGTTCATTTATTGTCGCGAGACGAGCTTTTGAAGTCGAGCAGAGAGAGAAAAAAAAAAACACATGCGCGCAAAAACAAAGTTGTTGGCGGGCCGGTCATACTTGAAAGGCGGCGTCAACCCACACCGACGAGACGAGAGCAGTATTTAGCTGTTCACGACGCCATTCCGGTCTTGCGAAAGCGGGGTGACTGACACCCACTCGGGTAACGAGCACATCCGGGGCTGCCTGTCTGCCCGCGAACATGGCCACGTTTTGGAAACCACCGAGGAAGGGTCGCTTCTACCGTTTGACAGTGTCGAATCTTACACCGTAAACATGTCGTATCGCTGGCGGTTGGTACAGTTGTACACGACCCTTGTTGCACGACCCCCCCTTTTGCTTCTTATTCGTTCATTCATCACATCACCTTGTTGTTGGTCACGTTGTGGCGGGTGACGTACGGCGTCGGATCGGTGTTCCACGGAGAGCGAAGAAGGCCGTAAGGGTTGTGAACATAGTGCCACGCGTCCTGCGGCAAAAGACAAAAAGAAAGGGAGAGATAGGGACAAGAGCATGGGGAAGGAAGGTGGTGGGCTAAAAAGCTCGTTCGCTTTCCCTTGGCTTTTTGGGCCATTGTCGCCATTGCCCATGTATCCCTTGAGAGAAGCGGGATGAAAGAGCGGCACCTTTTGATCTGGAAGCCTTCATGAGGAAACAACAACGACAGCACTAGCATTAGCAGCAACAGCGGCAGCAACATATAGCAACGGCAACGTGTGTGTCCATGCGGGCTACAGTAGAAAGAAGCCGACAAACTCGAGAACACGGCAAACCGCGTTGTAATCAACGTCGATGTCTCCTCAACTTCAATTCAATGGGATTCATCAGGAGACATGGGCTCCTTTGAGCTACTAATAACAAAATACACCTATATAATCAACACATCACAACCAGTGCTAGGTATTCTACCAATACTCCACTAATAGTTACGAGCCTCCATCCCCACTTGCCGATAAATCATACTTCCTTGTATTGTCTTATCTCATACAAAAGAGAATATGCCCGAAAGACGTTCTCAGTATCTCACAAAAAAACGAACGACAACGAAAGAGCGTTCCGTGATGTGGAAAGACGCGCAAGAAAAACAAGTAGAAGATACGACCCTTCCCCCCGTTCTCACATTGTGGTCATGAAACTTCCCAGCGACAACGAAAGAGCGTTCCGTGACGTGGAAAGACGCGCAAGACCAACAAGTAGAAGATACGACCCTTCTCCCCGTTTTCACATTGTGGTCACGAAACTTCACAGTACAAAACCAAAGAAAAAATAATACCATACCATGGTATGGAGCAAGACAACTTTCTTCTTTTCGTACGTGGAAAACAACCACGTACGTACGGCACTCGCCTCCATCACCGGTAGGAACGCCCATCGCCCCTTGTCCACCGTGTGCAACTCATTGTCTGGAGATGCTTCGCCGAACCAGTCGCTGGCGAAAACCTCCGAGGAATCGTAGTCTTCAAGCCCTGCGGCGGCTGCTCCCATGGTTTCCGTGTTGAAGGCGTTTTCGGATGTTTTTTTTTTTTTTTCCATCGACGGAGGCGGGCGGTGCGAAAAAAAAACACGGGAGAGCACAACAGCAACGGAAAAAATTTACCCAAAAGCATTGCAAACGGGTAAAAAACTTCATGAGGCGCCAGCAACCGATTCAGAAATCAATCGAGCAAATCACCCCGTTTTCACACCACATGCACAAAAAAAAACACACGCTGGAGAGACGAACACACGTACAGAGTACTCGAGAGCGGATCCGATAGAGACACATAAACAACAACGGGTGTTACAGACCACCTCGCGAGAACATCATCCTAAACCCAATCAACCGGCCTTCCTTCGAAATCGTTACTTCAGTGAGCTACTTTAGCTCTGCCGTGCAAGAGAACAGGCCCGCTACACCCACGCTCCCCGCATTACAAACGCCCTCGTGTGGTTTTCTTGTGGACCACTACGCGTGCAGTGATTTCCACATCACTATTACCAACTTCCGTACAAGCCCGGCGAAACTAGACGCGTTCCACATCACGGTGGGAGAGAGGAAGACAACGATAACAGAGGGGGGGGCGGGAGGGAGCGAGAGAAGGCAACGGGTGCCCCAGACATCTCCCAATACTTTGTTTGCCGACGTACCTTCGATGGTGTACTCCCAGTAGGGAATGGTGACGGCGGGATCGACCACCTGCAGAGCCTGCTCGAACAGCAACGTGTACCCCACGTGGTGTGTCATGATGCCTGCCAAACAATCAACGGGGCGCCGGGAGCGAAGCAAGGTCTTGATGAGAGAGCGCTGCGCTGAAACGAGAATATCGCACAAGCGTGCAAGCTTCAACCCTGGACAAACTACCAGGCGGCCCTCCATCTGCCTTCAGGTTTAGAACAAACAGCAAAAAAAAAAAAAGGGAGCCGATTCCGTTCACTTGGGCCGGCCACGCAGGGGTGGGTCAAAGGCTACATGCAAGGGATATTCGGATACAGGCGCGAATACCACCATGGCCCCTATATCTATTCGGACAGGGGGCTAATCTCCAAGAACCGGACAGCAGTGTCTGGAGTGCTGTAATCTGCTGTATCGTACTGCTGCACGCAAGTCGAGAGAGGCGAGGCTCGTTCCTCCCTGTTCTACGAGGCACCCACCGGCATCGTCGTGCCAGTGATCGCAGTCCGACACGCCGGCCCCATTCAGGTGCATCTGCACGAAAAAGTTGATGCCCTGCGGTAGAACCACACAGGAGGGAAGCGCGAACGCGAGCGTGTGACGCACCGAACTGAAAGGTGGAGTATGTACCATATCACCGCATAACCGTACCGTGAAAACTTGGACCGGGACGGGACGCCGCAGCTTCACTAACCCAAAGGAATACCACGGTAAGGTATGGTACGGCATATGTAGCGGGGTGCCGGGTGGCTACCGTCGGTGCTACAAACAGAGGCGGGCACGCGGCGTATGTACCGAGAGAGGCCGCAGGTGCCGCCCGCCGCACCTTGTATTCCTCGCCGTAGAGCTCGCGGCCTTCCACGGTGGGGAGGCGGTAGAGCGTCTCCATGGCGTCGAAAAACGCCTCCCTGTCTTTGTCAGTCAACGACCGGATCTCCCGACGCACGTACTGCAGAAGTCATGCACGTACGACAGCACCAACCACGTGAAACGACGACAGAAGTCAATCGGTGAAGTCGAGCTACGAGGATGTGCGAGAGAGGTTAACTGAACGAGGAAAAAAAAGTAAATCACATTCCTACATGCGCATACGTGGAAGATCCGAAACAAATCGTGTCTGACAACCTCTGCTACCGCTACGCGGCAATAGCTGCCTGCGACGGGGAGATAAGTGGTCCTTCTCACGTCGTCATCAGACACGTGTCGATCGTGCGGTACACCCGCAAGACTACGAGCTTGGGTGTGCGTTGACTTGAGAGGAAAATATGTCACGCACCTTGACCATGACGGAGCCTACGGTCTCGTGGGTGTTGCCCGTGGACACAACGATCTGCGAGAGGGACACCCGTTGTCGTCCGAGCGTCTTGAAGTTGTGTTTCACCTCTCTGGTTCGATCCACAAATTGAGGGGCGGGGGGGTAGGGGTAGCCCGAGCACATAAAATAGGGAGCAAGCAGCGGGAAAAAAAAACAGAAAGGGTTAAAAGAAAGGCGGAAATACAGGAGAGGGGTTAAGCACGGGAGTCAAGTCTCCTTGTCAAGAGCGTTTTTTCAGGAGCAACAACAGGCCAAGAACGCGAAGGGAGGTTAGGGGGAGGAAGGAACAGGGGGGAGGGGTATACACCAATTTCCATGGGTATCCTCGGAGTGATGCCGATACACCCTGGCCAAAAAACCAAACCCGTGTTATTACCAGCATGGTTATCTACGGCCCCGTAGAGCTTTCCGGGAATCTTACAAGTTCTCGGCTTAGGGTTAATAGGGATAGGGTGAGGGATAGAGATAGGGTTAGAAAGCAAATCAATCCTTCTGATGCACCACTCGGAGAATCCTAAGTTTCCCAGGAAGGAGACCCCTTTGGCAGCTTCACAGCTCTCACGAACAGCAAGTGAGGAGATGTGTGTAAATCGGTAGCTTGTGCACTTGCGACCGCATTTCCTCCACCGCGAGTGACGCCACAGGGCCTACACAAGCCTGCACCCGCGAGTAACCCTCTCTCTCGCGCCCCCCAACCTCGCTAGAGATCCTTACAGCAGCCACAGCACCAGCAGCAGCCCACTTCAAGATGTACAGATCAAGACAGAAATACTACTTCCGTAATCAGAATGACGAGCAGCAGAAGAGTTCAAGACCACATTACAGTATGACCTCATAATTTCGAGAATAAGTTCTTCAAAAGAACAAGAAGCCAACAATATCTGCCCTCTTCAGCAACGGAGCAAAAAAATACTACCACTACTGTAACAAACCAGCCACACGAAGCTGTATCAAAATCAGGCGAATGAAAACAAACAGCAGCGGGCTCCAATTGTACCTTCCTTCCAGGACAGTCCCGTCCTCAAACGACCACTTGAACACGTCCTCGTCAGGGCGCCCAAGGGTAGAGGAGGCCGTGAACGTCGTGTCTCGGAACGGCTCCGCGAGGTGAGTCCACGGGGACCCCGTCGTCGGCAAGTACTCGTTCGACGAGACGAAGCTCAGACCTTCGGTTGCTGCATAAAAAAAAAAATACAAAAAAAAGATAGCAGTACTGTATATTTCATTTGTACCGAGAGTTTAAAATGCGGGCAAGCGAACACGAGCAGAAGAAAACACACACACGCACACACACAAAAGTCGAGTGTTTGACAATGACTTGCGTTTGTGTGTGTGCTGAAGTCGTCAAGTGTCCGCACTCAGTAGTCGCGAGTTTTGTTTGGAGAACAACGCTTTTATTGCCGTTTCGGACGGCCTCGTTGGCCGCAAAAGGTTCGCTGCTCAAACGAAGCACCTCAAGGTACCCCTCGTTACAGTCCCGCCGGACTCAGGTAGGGGGGGGTCCCGTCCATACATACATGTCTGCGTTTCAAAAACAACCTTCTTCTTGTGTCGAAGTACAAAACCATACAAACATAAACCCACGCCGTCAACCGGCTGACCAGTGACAAAATAACAGCGGTCCTTCTCGGGGGCAACAAACCCGCGGAAGATTCTAGTCTGCGGGGCCCCCGAATTCGGTGGCCGTGGGGAAGAAAGACTGGGCTGTAGTGGAGATCCCAGCCATATCTATGCATTCGTGCGAGCAAAGAAACACCTTGGAAAAGTAAAACGAGAAAGCGTTTCGGTTCTAGAGTCAGAGAAAGCAAGGGCTCAAGCACGAAGAAGGAGGGAAAACAATCCACTGTGTATCATGCATAACAAAACACCGGCCTCACCGTCGCCCCCCCCACTCATAACAGAAGCAGGGGCACCGTAACCCGCAGCAGCTGCTTCTCCGGAATGTCGAGCACCGCCTCCTCCGCTTGCTCTCACCCCATGTGTCTCTTCTACCGTTGTTGCCGGCTCCGGCTGCGTCCCTACTCGAGAGTTTTATTTGGGGTGGTGGTGGTGGTGGTGGTGGTGGGAGGTGGGGGTG